ACTTTCATATATTTCAGATTCATTGCACACCAACTGAAATATTTCAGATCTTTAATTGTTTTAATACTGATGATTATGGCATACAGCTCATGAAAACCCAAAATGCCTGTCCCAAAAAATTAGCATATCATGAAAAGGTTCTCTAAACAAGCTATTAACCTAACCATCTGAATCAACGACGTAACTCTAAACACCTGCAAAAGATTCCTGAGGCTTTTAAAAACTCCCAGCCTTGTTCATTACTCAAAACCACAATCATGGGTAAGACTGCCGACCTGACTGCTGTCCAGAAGGCCATCATTGACACCCTCAAGCAAGAGGGTAAGACACAGAAAGAAATTGCTGAACGAATAGGCTGTTCCCAGGGTGCTCTATCAAGGCACCTCAGTGGGAAGTCTGTGGGAAGGGAAAAGTGTGGCAGAAAACGCTGCACAATGAGAAGAGGTGACCGGACCCTGAGGAGGATTGTGGAGAAGGGCCGATTCCAGACCTTGGGGGACCTGCGGAAGCAGTGGACTGAGTCTGGAGTAGAAACATCCAGAGCCATCGTGCACAGGCGTGTGCAGGAAATGGGCTACAGGTGCCGCATTCCCCAGGTCAAGCCACTTTTGAACCAGAAACAGCGGCAGAAGCACCTGACCTGGGCTACAGAGAAGCAGCACTGGACTGTTGCTCAGTGGTCCAAAGTACTTTTTTCGGATGAAACCAAATTTTGCATGTCATTCAGAAATCAAGGTGCCAGAGTCTGGAGGAAGACTGAGGAGAAGGAAATGCCAAAATGCCAGAAGTCCAGTGTGAAGCACCCACAGTCAGTGATGGTCTGGGGTGCCATGTCAGCTGCTGGTGTTGGTCCACTGTGTTTTATCAAGGGCAGGGTCAATGCAGCTAGCTATCAGGAGATTTTGGAGCACTTCATGCTTCCATCTGCTGAAAAGCTTTATGGAGATGAAGATTTCATTTTTCAGCATGACCTGGCACCTGCTCACAGTGCCAAAACCACTGGTAAATGGTTTACTGACCATGGTATTACTGTGCTCAATTGGCCTGCCAACTCTCCTGACCTGAACCCCATAGAGAACCTGTGGGATATTGTGAAGAGAAAGTTGAGAGACGCAAGACCCAACACTCTGGATGAGCTTAAGGCCGCTATCGAAGCATCCTGGGCCTCCATAACACCTCAGCAGTGCCACAGGCAGATTACCTCCATGCCACGCCGCATTGAAGCAGTCATTCATGCAAAAGGATTCCCGACCAAGTATTAAGTGCATAACTGAACATGATTATTTGAAGGTCGGCGTTTTTTGTATTAAAAACATTTGTCTTTCATTGGTGGGATGAAATATGCTAATTTTTTGGGACAGTCATTTTGGGTTTTCATGAGCTGTATGCCATAATCATCAGTATTAAAACAATTAAAGATCTGAAATATTTCAGTTGGTGTGCAATGAATCTGAAATATATGAAAGTTTCATTTTTATCATTACATTATGGAATATAATGACCTTTATCATAATATGCTAATTTTTTTTAGAAGGACCTGTAGAAAGAGACATCAGGGAGGCCCAACAGTCTGAACCAGACCCTGGCACAGGACCTGCAGGCACACTGTTCATTCCCTCTTCCACTAGAGCTAAGGTACTGGACTGGTAGCAAATTCTCTTGTCACCTTGGTGTTGTTCACATGCTTACTCTGGCCAAGAAACACTTTTGGTGGCAGTCTATGAACCAAGACGTTCGAGATTTTGCTGCTGCCTGCTCCACCTGTGCGAGGAATAAGAATGGTAACCAACCCCCGGCTTGCCATCTCCAACCTCTACCCATCCTGAGCCATCCTTGGTCCCACATCTCCTTGGACTTCATCACCGGTTTACCCTTATCTGCAGGTAACAACATCCATGCTCAATAATCCAGGTATACAATCCAACATTTTTCAGTCAGGTCATCTGGACAGTTTCTTTTTTTTTGTGCTGAAACATTTCACCTTCCATCCAGAAGGGTTCATCAGTCAAGGTAACAACACAAAACTTATTCTTCCCCCAACAGCTCACTCCAAAGTGGAGCAAACCAGTTATATTGGTGCTAAGATGGTGTCTTTAGCACGCTCCCTCCTCTGGTGCCGCCGTCTTCCTCGTCGACAGTCATCTCAAACTGGTTGAAAACAACAAAGTCCATGCTTAATAATCCAGGTATACAATCCAACAATTTTCAGTCAGGTCATCTGGGCAGTTTCTTCTTTTTTTGTGCTGAAACGTTTCACCTTCCGTCCAGAAGGCTTCATCAGTCAAGGAAACACACCTGTGACCTGAATCATCAACCCTTCAGCGGTAAGACTGCAGTTGCCCGCCTCCATGCTGGTCCACCCCACTTTTCATGTCTCACAGATAAAACCTGTCTCTGAGTGTCCATTAAACCCGCCTACCAACCTCCCTCCACCCGCCCCTCTCATCAACAATCACCCGGCTTTCACGGTCAGACGCATCCTAGACATTCGTCGCCGGGGCCGAGGGCTCCAGTACCTCATCGACTGGGAGGGATACGGTCCTGAGGAAAGGTCCTGGATCCCCAGGTCATTTATTCTAGACCCGAGCCTAATAAGCTCTTTCTTCAAGGACCATTCTGAGAAGCACTTCAGGTCATCTGGAGGCAATCTTTGAGCTGTTGGAGTTTCCTACAGCTGCTGCTCTGAGGGCACATGCACAGCTGAGAAGAATCTGGCTGATTGTCACCTGAAGTATAAAGAGCAGCAGATGTCTCATCTTGATGCTGGAGCATTGAGTCTGCTATGGTAGTAATGCTTCTAGCCTGTGATTCATTGTTGTTCTGAGTAAGACTGACCTGTTCGCTCTTGCCTTTGCAGTTAAACCCTTGGTGATCTACTCGAGTCTTGGACCTTTGTGAGTGACCTATCCTAGAAACCTTTGGAGTCTCCTCAGCTGCTTTGCTGTGCCTTCCTGCCACTTGCACTACTACTTTTCCACAAGAAATTAAGCCAAGCTCATCCTTCCAGCATTATCCATTTTTGAGGAACTACCACTAATCATTGCCCTTGCTTCCCCAGGGATCCTGAGCACTGTAAATAAAATTCACTTAACTAATCTTTGGTCTTGTAGTCTGTTCACATCAGTCTTTGCATCTGGGTATCTGCCAAACAAAACACATACAGTATGGATCATTAGGAATAACGTCCAAACCGGGTCAGTCTGGTTCCAGCTTTACAATGACTGCATTAAATGTTCTCATACTTGGTTCTGTTGTTGGTCGGTGGATAGAATGGCTCCCTCTACTCTCCAGGATCTGTCACTCTTTTCACACATCACATATCACTTGTTAGTCTTAGGGTTTGTCAGGTCCTGTATGATGGAATGTCTTCAGAAACATAAACTATATTAACTCACCTTAACAAACACTCATCTGCTCTTCTGTTGCAGCTGAAGGATATACATACAGAAACCAGCGCAGGTTCTCAGAGGACATTGACTGGTCATATGCAGGTAAGAAAGAGCTTTTTGATTAATATCAGATACGATTAATGCTGTCATTTAAGTACTTTTCCATTTGATGGGAACTTTGTTGGATACCTGAAGTAAAAATAAACATGAAAGTATTCCATCTTTCCTGTTTCCATATGTTTTATAATACTATACTATTATATTTAAAATAAGTATAATATTATAGCTTTGTCTCTGTGGCCCTGTGATGGGCTTGCAACCTGTCCAAGGTGTACCCCGCCCCTCGCACAATGATTACTGGACATGGGCTCCGGCGATCCTTGTGACCCAAAATGGAAGAAGCGGGTAAAAAATAATGGATGGATGGATAATATTATAACCTACCATTTACCTTTAAAATAATCCTGCACGGGAATTAAAAAAAAAACTCCTGAAGTGGTAAGTAAAATTATTTATTGCTAAGCCTTCTCACTAGCATCAATACTGTAGCAGAAAAAGCTAAGCAGACCCCAAGAACAAAATATAGATACATAATTAAATACCCAGCTTTTATCATCAAGCGCTAATATTCAAATTTATCACTTTTTTACTTTTTCAAAAAAAAATTTACATTAGATTTTGTCAAAGAAGCTTTTCCTTATGAAAACATTTAACAAGGATATGACAGAAGAAACTAAATGAGATTTTATTGCCACAAAACCAGCTATGTTGGGGTACTATCAGGCAGTATTTATAGCTTGAATCTGTGTCACATATTATTATATATCTATCTCTTTTACGCACACACTCATACAGAGAAGATTTTTTTCCAGTCAGCTGTCAGCAACCTTATGTGGATGCTACACTTTCTTTCTATTTTCTAGATGAGCCTTTGCCACAGAGCTACACAACCCAGGCAGCACAATGGATCAGTGATTATTACTGTGGCCTCACAAAAAGAAGGCCTATGGGTTCAGTCCCAGGTTTGGACCTGGTGTTTTTCTGTTTTTAGTTTGCATGTTCTCCTCATGGATTTTCTCTGGGTTCTACATTTTCCTCCCACAGTCCAAAACATGCAGGATAGGCTGCCTTTAGGTCCAGGAGGGCCTTGCAAAAGAGATACTAAAGTCAAAGTTTATTTAATTGTCATTGAGGAATGTTGAATGTTGAATGAAATTCTGTACACACGGTCCCAGTTACATCCAACAAAAGTATAAATTGTAAAGAAAAACAATAATAAGATCTAAGATATGAATTAAGAAATACGCTAAACTAAGAATACCCTAAGCGCTAATAGTACAAAAACAAACTCCTTTTCTGTCCTCTCTGTTTGAGGAAGCCCCTCAAAAGAAATACTGCCAAGTTTTTGGGGCAGCTGTGGTTGAGTGGTTAGAGCAGTCATCCTCCAATTTGTGAGTTGGGGTTTCGATTCCACCAGCAGTCACATGTTTAAGTGTCCCTGGACAAGACAAGGTGTGGTGCTGTTGACTTCAACCAGTGATGCCGTCGAGGGGTGGAAGGAATACTTCTCAGACCTACTCAATCCCACCGGCACGGCTTCCATGTAGGAAGCTGAGTTGGGGAAGTTCGGGGTTGGTCTGTCCATAACCGTGGCTGAGGCCACTGAGGTAGTTAAAAAGATCCATGGCGGCCTGGCTCTGGGAAAAGATGAGATCCGCCATGATTTCTTTAAGGCTCTGGATGTTGTGGGGCTGTATTGGTTGACACACCTTTGCAACATCACGTGGACATCGGGGGCATTGCCACATGATTGTCAATCTGGGATGGTGGTTTCCCTCTTCAAAAAGGGGGACCGAAGGGTGTATTCCAAATATAGGGGCACCAGCCTGGTAAGGTTTATTCATAGATAATGGAGAAGTGAGTCAGATTGTTGGTTGAACCTCAGATAGAGGAGGAACAATATGGATTCCATCCTGGCTGTGGAACATAGGATGAACTCTTTACTCTCACTAGGGACCTTGAGGGGTCATGGTAGTTTGTCCATTCAGTCTTCATGTGTTTTGTAGACTTGGAGAAGGCATTCAACCGTGTTCCTTAGGGTACAATGTGGGGGTGTGGTGGTTGGGGGGTGCTCTGTGAGTATGGGATTGGGGGCCCATTGTTACAGGCTGTTCGGTCCCTATACAAGCATTGCAAGAGTTTGGTTCATGTTGCCGTTAGTAAGTCAGACCCCTTCAGGGTGGGAGTTGAACCCCACAAGGGCTGCCCGTTGTCACCAATTCTGTTCATATCTTATATGGACAGAATTTTTTTGTTGCAGCAAGGGGATGGAGGGATTCCAGTTCAGTGGCCTCAGTATTCCATCCCTGCTCTTTGCAGATGATGTGGTCCTGTTGGTGTCATTGTGCCGTGATCTTCAGCGCTCAAGGGAGCAGTTCGCAACTGAGTGTGAAGCAGCTGGGATGAGAATCAGCACCTCCAAATCTGAGGCTGTGGTCCTCGATTGAAAAAGGGTGGATTGATGTCTTCAAGTTGAGGGTGATGTTCTCCCTCAAGTGGAGGAGTTCAAGTATCTTGGGGTTTTGTTCACAAAAATGAGGGAAGAATAGAGCGTGAGATTGACAGACGGACTGTGCAGCATCTGCAGTATTGCGGACTCTGTACTTGTCTGTTGTGGTGAAGAGGGAGCTGAGCTGTAAGGCAAAGCTCTCTGTTTACCTATTGGTCTACATTCCTACCCTTACCTATGATCACAAGCTCCGGGTAGTGATTGGAAGAATGAATTCACAGATACGGGTGGCTGAAATGAGTTTCCTCTACAGGGTAGCTGGGCTCTCCCTTACAGATAGGGTGAAAAGTTCAGTTATTCGGGAGAGACTGAGTAGAAATGCTGCTCCTTCACGTTGAGAGGAGCCAGTTGAAGTGGTTTAGGCATCTGGTAATAATGCTCCCTGGGCACCTCCCTAGAGAGGTGCTTGGGACATGTTCGACTGAGAGGAGACCCTGGGGAAAACCCAGGACACGCTGGAGAGGCTATGTCTTTCGGTTAGCCTGGGAATGCGTTGGAATTCTCCCAGAAGAGCTGGATGTGACAAGAAGCGGTTTGGATCAGCACATCAATACCCAACTCAGAAATGATTTAAAATGTTTATTTGGAAATAGATTCTGGTGTAGGTCAGGGTCGGGCCTGGTTCTGATCTGTCAAGACAGAAGTGTTAGTGAACTTGGAGTGGATGGAGAGGCAAAGAGAGGTGCTATAATTATCACTAACCTTCTGTCTTGATGGAGTAGCAGGTGTTCTAGTCTTGCTGAAGCCGATGATGCCACTCATGAAGAATGAACAGCAGCAGTGGAGCAAACGGGGATCATATAGATCCAGTAAGGGGAAAATCTGCTTCCGAGGTCCAAGAAGAGAAGCAGGGGTTTGAGCACGGTGAAGCAGAGAGCAGAACAGAGCCAAAAAAATGATCCTGAATCGAGGTCTTTGTGGAGGTGCAGAGTTGTTACCGTGAGGGGAAAAGCAGACAAATCCAAAGGGAGTATGCAGGTCGAGGAGTCAAAAAACAGGCTTGGGTTCAGAACAAGTCAAAAGACCTAGACAAGGTACGCTGGATTTCATCTGCTCAATGAGGTTCAACAATCTGGCTAGGAATGTGGGCAGGCAGGGAGCTTAAGAAGGGAGGTGAACAGGTGGGGAGCATGAGCATTGATTGCAGAGTGAGTCATGAAGCAGAGTGGTGTTAATTGGATGGCAGGAGCTGAATGGACTGAGGTGAACACCAAACATGAAAACAGCAGGCAGAGGAGGGAAAAAAGGGTCAAAAACATGACAGGAAGATGTGGCTGCAGAAAGAGATATCTGGGCCTCCCTGCTCAAGCTGCTGCCCCCCCCCCAAACCAACTTAGGAACAAGCAGAAGATAATGGATGGATGGATGGATTTGTTCTCCATAGGCCAAGATGTGTTATGTGATTATGTGGTAATAGCTGATAGTCATTCATACCACCCACTCTGACAGTTATCTGTTGATATTCCACAAATTAAATGGTAAATGGACTGTACTTCTAAAGCACCTTTTTATAAGCTCTTTACAACACAATCTGTGCCCTCATATACCCATCCATACAGCACTCTACTATACCTTTATAAAGACTATTCAGTACTTAAGATCACATTCATACACCAATAGTAAACACATTGGAGGCAATGGAAGTTCAGTATCTTGCCCAGTGATACTTCAACTTGTTACTGCTGGTGGAATTGAACCCCTAACTCTCCCACTGGAGGGCAACCACTCTAACCACTCATCCACAGCTTCCCCAAAAACCTGGTGTCATTTTGTTTGAGGGGCTTCCTCAAACAGAGTATTGAAAGGGAGTTTGTTTACCTTTATTTTAACCAGGTAAATGCATTTAAGCTCATAGATCTCTTTTGAAAACAAAAACCTGCATGGAGTGCCATTTGCATTCAGAAGGGTTCACTCTGCTAAATTTGCATGTTTTCTTAATAGAAACAGATAATTTTAAAGTTAACACTGACAAATGTTTGTGGCTGAGGCTGACTGAGAAAATGGCAGACCTGAACTAAGCTGTAATCAATACAAAAGGTTCTGTTCCTTCCTCTAGTTCCTCACTGACACTGTCTAGGAGTATTTTTAGGACATTGTGCCTGTATCTGACCACCAGGAACATTAAACCAACACAACTGGGCCAAAAAGTTTCCATCATGCAGCAGTGCTAAGCAGTCTCCTATCAACATAGAAGAGGACTTGGCCTCTGTGAAGCTGCAGTACCAGAAGCTGACATTTGATGGCTGGGACAATCTGACAAATGACAGGACAACCATTACAAACAACGGCAAGACAGGTAAGTGCAGTCACGCTAAGTCAATGCCAATGATGCCAACCTCAGAACTGCATTGGGTCAGTCAAGTGGTTGGGTTAGGGCGGAGAAGCTCATTTAGACACATGGATTTTTAAGGAATATATCGAACATTATCATTATGATACATCTGCTGTATTTTTCTTAATTTTCTGTATATATACGGTCAAGTGTGTATATATGTGTATATGTATATATATGTGTGTATATATATATATATGTGTATGTGTGTGTGTATATATATATGTGTATATATGTGTGTGTATATATATATATGTATATATATGTATATGTGTGTGTGTATATATGTGTATATATATATAT